CCTTACCAAAGCATATAACTATAAACTTGACTAGCTCTCCATTCAGCAGATGACAGTGCAATATTGTGGCTTTCTCTTAATTGAAAGGATTTGGGATGAAAAAAGACATCAGATCGTTTTTCTGCTGTTTTTTTTTTTTCTTTATCTAGGCTTTCAAATTAAGGAAGATTCTGCTTTTGTCCCTACAAAGACCCTCCCTCATATAATAAGCCCAACCAAAACTTAGGAATCCCAATTATAATTTCCTTGTAATTGTACCATTTGGGATTCACTCACATCAGATTTTTAAGTAACGGGAAGGGGTTCAATGATTGTAGTTTCCTTTTTCTCAATAAAATCTTTCTATTTTCTACCCTATTGCAAATCTCTGTTTTGGTTTTGGTGCAGCAATATTTTGTTGTATTTAAACATTCCCCTGACACGTGCTGGAGTCAGCTAATACCTGATTTCACTTCCCCCAGAGCTAATTTATTAACTGAATTCTTGAAATCGTTTTGTCTTAGATGTACACAGGGATGTATGAAAAGCCAACTAACCTATTTCACGAGCATTTATTATGTCTTCCTCTTCCTCCTCCTCCCCCTCCTTCTCCTTCTCCTCCTCTTCTTCCTTTTCTCTGTTCCAAGTATCAGGAATTTCATTTGACAATGATTCCTTGAATTTTAGTTCATCCATTATAATGTTATATGACAATTTATCGATTGGAGTTCTACAAATGAAAATAAGGAGGGTAGGAATGTAGGAAAATAAGGAATGTTTCATCGATTACTCTTAATAGGATTGTATTCTGCAAAAAATATATATCAAAAAATCAAGTGCATAATCCTTTGGTGGATTCAATGGTTCATGATTCCTTTGAAGTATTCAATGCTGGAATACTGGTAGATGTGGTCAAGAGACTATAACTAATTTCAGCACCTGATCTAGGAGTGTACATGGAGTTGTCCATTAATATGACCTAGAAGTCTCAGATTACACATAATGCAGTTGCTTACCTGCTGACCAGTGTCGGCAGAATCACAACTAATTAGACAGTACACCTAATCCGAGAACCGCTGTGGCGCAGTGGTTAGAATGCAGTACTGCAACTAATTCTGCTGACTGCTGGCTCCGAGCAGTTTGGCAGTTCAAGTCTCACCAGGCTCAAGGTTGACAACCTTCCATCCTTCTGAGATGGGTAAAATGAGGACCCAGATTGTTTGGGGCCATATGCTGACTCTAAACACTTAGAAACAGCTGTAAAGCACTGTGAAGTGATATATATGTCTAAGTGCTATTGCTATTCTACTGATTGCCAATAAGCTTCCAAGCCCAATTTAAGATGCTATTTGTTGCTTATAAAAGCATTTTATTTCAGCCTTTGTTCTATTTGGGATTGCTTTATCCAGGTTGAATCTGCCCAACTGACATGACACGGCCAGGAGAGGATGCTATGTTACTCATTTTAGTGAGATCAAGGATATAGGGATGTGGAAAATGGCATTCATCGCAGTAGTTCCCTTGTTTTGGAACATCTTTTCCTGTGGAGCTTGTTAGTCTCCATCCTTTTATCCTTTAGGAAGGAGATCCAATGCAGTTCTAGAATGCATCAATACAGGGATAGCATCAAGAATACAAAAAAAAATAAAAAAAAAATACCCATCTATTCTGCACACCTGGCATACTGAAACCAGTTCTGGTTACTATGATGCCAAAAAAGATTCCGAGGCCCAAAGAAGAGTGGAGAGAACAGCAACAAAGATAATAAGGGGTCTGGAGGCTAAATCGTACAAGGAATGGTTAAGGGAACAAGGTATATTTAGCCTAATGAAGAAAAGGGTTAGGGTGACATGATAGCCATCTTCAAATAACAAAGAACTGGCACAGAGAAGAGGGACTGATTTATTATCCAAACATCTGACAGCAGGGCGAGAAGCAATGGATGAAAACTAGTCTGAGAGATATCCAGCCTGTAACTAAGAAGAAACTTCATGACAGTGAGAACAATTAGTCAATGGAGCAGCTTGCCTCCAAGGGTTGTGGGACTTCCATGGTCCTTTCCAGACCTATGATTCTTTTCCATTAGTTTTTGGGGAAAGTGTACACTTCAATATAGTGTTGTAAGCCCCTAGAAAATTTTCAGGATACAAATAACTGTATTAAATAACTGTAATAATAAACTGTAATAAAACAACATTTGGTTCTAACCATCTACAGCTGACCTACACTGAAGAATAGCCCACCGTTTTTCAGTTCTCATCAAGCAACTGAACAATTCAAGTTCTATAGCAAACAATAACTGTTTACAATGCTAACATTCATTCCAATTATTTTCTTCTATTGACGAAGAATCTGAAATCTATTGAAATTGCTTGCTAACTGCATAACTGGTAATAAAAACAGACCTTGCTATTTATTACTACAATGGATTCCTAATAAGTTACCCTACTGCAAAGCAATGCTTTAAAGTATTATTATATAGTTTGATTCATTTGAAAATGCAGTTTCTCCCACATATTGCAGCAATCCAGTCAATACCTTCTATGCTTCTTAATTAATAATCTTTCCATATAGTTCAAGTTATCATCTTTGAATTCAATTTCAGTAGACTTCTTCATAATTGGGGGGCTCGTCTGCACCTGACACATTCCCGGATTTTCTATAACAATAAGAGAAAATTGTTAGCTATTATTTTTGCATACGAAGGTACCAATTTTGCCTGATTGTAATTTTATAAAAAAATGTATATTAAAAGTTTTAAAGAGAAGATAAAAACTAACAAAAACTAGTATAAAGAAAGTAAAAAAAGGGAAGAAGAAAGAAGAAGACAAAGGTCTCAGGGTAAAGGATAAAAAGAAATAGAAGTAGCTTCCAATTTACTCTGAAGCAAATATGAGTACAAGGTTATTTCTTACTCTATGGTGACAAAAAGAAAAGCTCACTTTTTCCTATTATCTAGGTTTTTTTCCTAATCATCAAAATCATCAAGTGCATTTTTACCTGGTACATGCAAAAAATATGTAAGGGGTTTTCAATCAGTCATAAATATAGTTAATGTCTTTTCTCTAATCAAGGAAGACAATTGATACCTGCAATTTCTATCACCTTTTCAGTTTTGAGTTTATAATGAATTTGCTGTAGTTGACCCGTGTGTGTGTGTGTGTGTGTGTGTGTGTGTGTGTGTGTGTGTATTCTTCAACTTACAACAGTTCATTTAGTGTTTAGTTACAACGGCACTGAAATATGTCACTTATGACTTCTCAAACTTACGACCGTTGCAGCATCCCCATGGTCATGTGATCAAAATTCAGACACTTGGCAACTGATTCATATTTATGACAGTGTCCAGGGGTCATGCGATCACCTTTTGTAACCTTCTGACGAGCAAAGTCAATGCAGAAGCCAAATTCTCTTAAGAGCCATATTCCTAACTGAACAACTGCAGTGGTTCACTTAACAACTGCAGTGGTTCACTTAACAACTGCTATGCGAATGGGGCAAAACTCACTTAATAGCTGCCTCACTTAGCAACAGACGCATTTTTTCCCCTAGTTTTTCTGTCCGTGAGATCCAATAGAAAAGGCTCTGGTTTCAATTATACTTTAGTCTGAATTAGTGTATGCATGGTTTTATCACACACCTAGCAAACATGATAGAATGTTCATTCTTGTTACTCTGATTGTCAATGTTCACTGTAGAATAATAACAGAATCTGTGGAATATTTAAACAAAATCCTTAAAAATAATGCAGAATATTAATATTCACTAGAATAACGTGCAACTCATAAAATCAATACTGCCACAATCATAAGCTCTTTGCATTGAAATTCCATTAAGGCTTGGTACACAAGCTTTCTCAGCCCCAGGAAGAACATCAGTGCAGAAGTACTGATATTATTTTAAAAGGTGCAACAATAGAATGGCTGATTAAATATGTGAATGGTAATTTTGCATTGCATACAAAAAGAGAGAGACAGAAAGACAAGCATGGTACTTGAAGAAAATGGGGCAACTTGTTACTGTATTCATGTCCAGGAAAAGATGCAACCATCTCTTCCTTTTAGACTGAAAATAATGTTGAACTTTTATGCTGGTTTTCAAAACGTTTTACTGTACAAAACAAATGCAGCCAATACCTGACCCAACCTGGCAGGAACGTTCTTCTTTACTTTTCTGGGAACAATTTCCACTTCTCCACTGATTCAGAGCTTCTTGAAAAGACTCGGCTGATTCTTTTTCATCAAAGGTGCCATGCAGAAAAAATCCGCCATTTTGAATCTCAGCCCAGTCCTCAGTAGAAGATACTGTAGAATGTTTCTGAATTAAAATTGCAAAATTAACTTGAATTAAAATGAATTTAATTGTTTTTTAGTACATTGCCCAGGTATAAAACAGGTTTGCCGCAGCATTTAAAAGCATGCTTCGCAGAGCACACTGGCACAAGTAAAATTCCTATGTTCAAAATGTTAAGGCCACACAATCCTTTGCGGCTTGGCATGGCTGTTTCAAGGAGTTTTCCAAATTATCTCTAACAACATACATGAACACAGCTGCTTTGCAAGGAAAATGATTATTTTTGAATGGGTCACTTTCATCTTTCAAAGGGCACAGCTACTGTGTTCAAAGAGGGATGCATCACTAGTGCCAAGGTACCATATTTTTCCATCTATAAGACGCCCCCATGTTTCATATAGTTTCCTGTAGTAAGCACACTACAAGCCATCACTGTGAAGAAGCCATCTTGTTAGAGAGAGTGATACTAGAAGAACAGGAAAATGCATCACAGGAACACTAGAGATGAAATCTAGAGTGGCAATGTGATACAGGAAACAACTATAATAGAGAGGAATGATGGAGCTGCATATAAGATAAAGGCGCATACGGCATGTGCCGCCTTCTCCTCTCGCCGTTCTGTGTATAAGTTGCCCCTCCATTTTCAAGTAAATATTTTAAAGAAAAAATAGTATCTTATACAAGGAAAAATATGGAATTTCATTCATGCTTGGAATAGCCATAATATTGGACCTGAGCATGGGTCATGCTCAGTTTCATAATCTTTTTTGCCACAGTCATTAAACAAATCACTACAGTTAAGTGACCCACATTGTCATTAAGCTGTTCTAACCGAGGATTCCCAAGAGCATGAAGCAAATTCCTTATCCCGACAAAAATCTCTTTTATCAATTTACTGTGAATTCTGCTCATTCACATCCAGCAAAGTCTTTCAAGGGAGGATTTACAATCATAGACCTTATCTGGTTGGAGAGCTGCCAACCGATATCTGCAAAACTTGGCAAGGAGTCTCGGAGAGTCAGGAGCCAATTAAGTGAACTAATTGTCTCCTGCAAACTCCACTCCCCTTTCGTTCCTATTTTATTTCCTCTGGGATGAGCCATTCATTGTCCACCTGTGGCCTTACTGCCAAGTCGACCCCTGTTCTTTAGCTGTTCCCTTTGTCTGGCAACTCTGTACATGCGCACACTGGGAACAGGCTCCAGCTGTTCATCTGCCTCACTGATGTCTGACTCTGAAGGCAGTTGATAACAAGCATATGGCTCCGGCCCCCTTTCTGCCTCCGACACAGAACCCTCATCAGAGCCTTCCCCAGACTCCAGGACTGGCCCATGTTCATCCCCAACCTCCTCACTGTCCGAATCTGCTGCCAGCTCCACAGGCCGCTGGTGGGCCACAACATAAGCAAATCTGGTTTCCCCCACTCACTTTGCTTGTAAGAGATTTGCTGGGGAGGTCATCAATCGCAATCTATGAACCTGTGATACTGCAACTGTTATACATACATTCCATTTGCCAAGCACCCACAATTGTTGATATGACCATGGGGATGCTGAGACAGACATAAGTGTGAGGACTACTTGTGTCACTTTTTTCCATGCTGTCCTAACTTCAAATGGTCACTATGCAAATTACTGTAAGTTGAGGACTACCTTTATTCACATCTTATAATGCAATAACAAAATTAACAGAGGAAAGGAATCAAACATGTGAAATATTATATGCAATTTCCCAAATTTAACAGATAACATTGGGGGGGGGGGAATTGAATCTTTGTGTCAGGATAACCTGAAGCATGGATTAAAAATAAAATTAAGAAAATATTAGATATTAACTCAAATATTTAATATTATTCAACTGTCCAAAAACAAATAGAAAAGCAAGTTATTTTCTTCCAAAACATTTTCCCTAAGTTGCTTTGATTAGACTACATCCTGAATCGGTGAATTTTGGTTATGATTATGTCATAGAAGTCTCCCTATTTTTAAGATCACAACTTTCTGGCTTTAAACATCATAGACTACCTCAGTATTATCTGTTGGTGTTCTTGGTGAAGGTGGAGGAACAGCAACTATATCTTCTACTGCATTGGTCACTTTTTTCCTCTGTCCATTATTTATGAAGTCATTAGTCTCCGGTGGATGGACAGTTTTCAGGAACTGCTGTGCAGCTTCCAATTTTCCAACTGAGATACGTGTTTTTCCCTATGGAGAAAAAGTCATATATTAAATTGCAAACCAATACAAAATAACTTTGTGTTCCTGTATAATGAACACATGACTATAGGCATCCTATTCTGATAATATCAGGCAAAGAAGCAAACAGTTTACAGATTAATATTTGGCTGTCACTTATTTTATTTCCCTGCACTCTTATCTACATGGTCATTTCTTTCTATCTCTGGATTCTTTCTAGATAACTGGCTTTGTTATTCACAGTTACTGTCCAAGGTTTCAGCCGTTTCCAAAGATTTCCATTTTTTTCCCTTCCTTAACACATTAAGATGGCCACCTAATGCTCATTGACACAATTAACTATGGTATAACTCTGCATGGTATAACTCTGCATAGGCATCAGGAAGGGCATCTGGCCAGTAAATGTTTAGCTCTATTCAGTCGCTCTGATTCTACCCCAATGCTAAGCGGTGTGGTGGCCTAGAGGTGGAGCTCTCGCCTCAAATTCAGGAGGCAGTGAGTTTGATCTTAGGTAGGAGCAGATATTTCTCTCTCTGGGCGCAAAGAGAAAATATCTGCTGCAAACTCTGCATAGGTGTCAGGAAGGGCAACTGATCAGTAAACGCTCAGCTCCGTTCACTTGCCCCAACTCCACCCCAATGCCAGGAATTATAGGGTTGTTAAAAGAAAACAAATGTAAGATTTAGCCTTGCCTGCCTAAATTCACAACATATAGATAGCAAATTCTTAACTAAGATTAAGCAAAGAAAAATACAAATCTATCAATAAAAATAAAATAATTTAAATATTAAGAATTAAAAGATACTATTCATTTTAATATTACACAGATTATTTTTTGTAATAGAAATAGATAGTATAATTAAAATTATTGTCCAAAGCAAACAGAAAGATTCAAGTTAATATTTACCCCCAAATACATCATTATAAATAAATATTCCTGTATTAAAGAGCTACATATCTTGTGTACCAGCTCTGGCAATCTGTGTTTTTGGGCTTTTTATTCAAAGAAAATAATACAATTTGCTCTGCTTAACCAAGAAGTAACTAATTGAATCTAATATGCAAGGGAAACTGGGAGCATAAATGGCCTATACTCTATAAAACCGAAGGTCAGAAACATGAATACACAGAAAGCAGCCAGTGACACAAGCACAATTATCTTAAAGCATTAAACATTTTAGGGGGGAAATCTAATTATAAAAATTGCTAATGTTTTATCCTAAAATTGGAGAATACTTAAGGCAATTCTAATGATACTACATTTTTACAAACAAGTTTTTACAGCATACCCCTTGCAAATTGTATGTCTGAACCACTAGAATTTTTTCTTCCATGTTTTGAATAAATTCTTCAGATTACTAACAATTAGAACCAAGCAACTAAATAACACGATATATAAATTCACTAAGACATCTTTAAGGGTTAATGAAAGGTTTTAATATTATAAACAACCAGTTTAATTGCATTGCTTCTTATATTCAACATTGGACTTTCTCAACTGGGTGGTATTTGGATTCTGTCTGTATATACAATTTGCTCTCATTTTTTGATAGATGCAAGGAAGCACCTTTAACTGCTCTTTGAGTATTTGGTTTTGGCAATAAAGAGCAGGCTACTGCATGTCAATCCTAAGTCATGCAAGTGTGGCTCCTGGATAAGCTTGTTCAAGTCACTTTTATTAGAGTAAAAAGAAAAATATCAGGAACATCAGTTTTCATCCATGAATGGCCAACTTTATTGTGAACGGAGTCAAAGAGAAAGGATCAGTTACAAAAATATATTTCATTTGGGAACAAAGCAATGTTTAAAGCTGCCAGTTGGCAGATAGCAAAAGAAAGAAGTCTATGAAAAAAGGATTCGAGTTCCTAACTTCAGCACCCTATGGGCAAAAAGGAAAGAAATAAATTATTATAACAAAAACAACAATTCAAGTGTACTGGTTCCAAAAATATTACTTTTATTCTGAAGTATACTTTTTTTTCATTATGAAAGACACAGCTAGTTTTGAGATATAACATTAAGCCATAATGAGGCTTGCTTTTAAGTTAGTGCCTTTTATAAATCTAACATGGCTTTGTATGATGGATAAATCAAGCCAGTAGGTTCTGTTCATGTTTTTTTGAAAACTTCTGCTTTAAGAATATATATGAATGAAGCCACATTAATTGCTTTCTCTAAGCTCACAATTATAGCCTCACCTGTTTCATTCTTTCCTTGTTTATATATAGATGTTATTTTTTTTCTTATAAGAAACTAACCCCCAATTCATACTGTATTAGCTTCCAAAACATCTTCATTAGAAGTAGGAAAATTAAATGTTTAAATTTTATTAAATTTTGTAATATTTGTCCTATTCTAACTGCAAAATAACCCTCCATATTTGACCAGTTATAGGTAAATTAAGATAGGTTTCTTATTTCAAATGTCTTCTCTAATAATCCAATTTTACAAAATCAGGCCAACAATATAAAATACATGTCAACCGTGAGTTATGGAAAGGGGTATCTTTTTTCTATTTATCCAGAAACTATCACCAGCCATTTTGATTAATGTATCATGTGGCATAAATTGTGTCAACTTTCAGTGACTTTCAGATCTTCCAATAGTACAACCACTGAGTCCATCAACCTTGCTGCTGGTTATCCTCATCTTCTCTTCCTTTCAACCTTATTTCTTGTCTTTTCACATTCTTCTCAACCAATTTCTTTTAAGATGATTCCACAATTCTTCTTGTTCAAGACTTCAAAGTAATTTCTGATGTTCTCCTTGAAAATGATGGGTATGCTGAAGGTAATGCTGCTTGGCTTTCTTCTTCGCTCGCTTAACTCAGAACTTGCACATGAAAAGTTCATGATCTATTCCAGCTGGCACTTAGCCATGTCTTTGATGCTATAATTGAGATCTTTCATCTTCTTTTAGCAAGAATATAGTCAATTTGATTTCTATATATTCCATCTGACAACATGCATATGGTATCATTTTGGTTGTTTGAAGACAGTATTAGCTATGAAGAAACCATTCGCGTGGGAGAACTGGCAAGTTGATCTCCTGCTTCATTTTGGTTTCCACTACATTTTCCTCTTTAATATTTCCAACTTTGGCATTTTAATCGTGAATCACAAACAGAACATCTTGCTTGCTTTTTCTGTCAATCCCAAATTGAAGATAATCATAAAATTCATCAACCTCCTCTTCTTCCGCACTAGTGGATGCAGTATAAACTTGAATGAGTGTTATATTAAAAAGTTGTCCGTGAAGTCTGATATTATTGAGTCATTGGTTGCTTTGTATCCAAGAACTGTTGTAGTTACATTGATTCTAGTTATAAAAGCAATACTATTGCTTGTTTTTTCATGTCCTGAGTAATAAGTGAAGCGATTTTCGGACTAAGCATTCAATCCCAGTTCTTCTCAATTCGGTGATGCCTAAGACGTCAATTTGTGGCCATTTCATTTCATCTTTCATTGTGCTAAGCTTCCCTCTGCTTATGCTTCTTACATTCCATGTCCCTTTGCAACTTAGACATTCCAAAATCTTTAATCTTGCCACATCCTAAACACCATTATCCTCAGCTCTTCCTCAGAAGCATGCTAAGTGCTAAACAACCCGAAGACATCGTTATTGGAATCCCTTTTACTAAAGGCTACTTAGACATGAATATTTGGAACCATATGCAAATGGCTAACATGTATGTGCTTCCAAGCAAATAATAATTCCACTAAGATGAATGGTGGAGATAATTAAGTGATAAAGATCCAATTGACTGACTTTGTTCCCAAAGCTCTATGTTCCAAATGGTATTACGCATTTTGGGGGAAGCAATTTTCCCATGCCATTATGGCAGAAGGAAATAGGAGCATAAGATATCCTGGCTTTCCGACACTACCTATCTTCAGTGGCTGTTTAAGGATGAACAGCCCATAACTACAGTCCAGGTGGCCAGATTCTGTGCAGCAGCACTGGGGATTCATCGCAAACATGTGTCTTCTCCTCCATTATGTTATATAATAAATATGGCAAACCCTTTGCACTGCTTAGTCCTTTCCATTTTAGCATTGAACCTTGCAGCTTATGGATTATAACTGTAGCATACTTAGACCCTGTATAATTGACAGACTGGATTTTATTATAGACTAGTGCTGATAACCTGGCATAGCCCTGGTATTTATTTATAGGGGGAAAATGTCCGTACCAAATGTAATTTCTAATATTGGATTTTCCCCCTTACCAGAGGGAGGCCCCTTGTGGAGTACTATGAAGCCGTTACCATGGCAACTCCACTGGGCTGTACAGTAGGAGCCATTTTACGGCAGTACAGAAGAAAACATGTTAAGGCACAACAGACTGTATTGTGTGTGTGTGTGTGTGTGTGTGTGTGTGTGTGTGTGTGTACGTATATGTATTGTGTCACAACCCCTGGTATGCCTAAATATGGGAGGGAGCATAGTGCTTCCCTTTTCTGTCTATCGGCTCACTCTGGGAGCCATCCAGGCAGAAAGCCATTTTTTTTATGTTGCCTTGTTACATTTGTGTTGCAATTGTGCTGATAATTGCAACACACACACATACATACACACACACACACACACATGGTATCTGGTCTAAGACTGTAATAAATTGATTGATTGATTGATTGATTGATTGATAGAAAGTGGCATAAGATATGGTGAAAGAAAACTCTGTAGTGATCCAAGATAGCGCAAGGGTGTTTTCTCTGAAAGGCGAGGCCAGATGAAAGCAACTAAACAGCAAGAGATATTCAGTTACACAAAATGAATGGTTTTGTTAAACAAGAAAAGATACAAAAATGGGGGCGATCTCTACCTCTTTTATACATAAAGTGATATATTCCTAATGAGGGTATGTTCTATTGCTTTCAATCACGAAAGCTGCTTGCTGTGCCAAAGTGCTCATGTGACCAGATTACTGCATAAATGCACTCATCCTGTAAAAACGTCATAGCCATTACAAGCTATCAGCAGATAATGATAATTATTTGCATTATCCGAACAGAGTTATGGACTTCAAGCATGATTCTCTACACAGAGTTTTCTGGGTTTCTTACTCATTTAGGGGTGCTTCTACATAACAACGTTGGTAAGAGTAAATGGAGAATAAGAACATCAACCTGCCAAAAGAATTTCTACATATGACGGATAAAAGTACTCCTAAATTTCTCTTGGTGGTTGTTTGTGCATGTATTTAATCGTAATATGTCTTCTAAGAAGAGTTTGCAGTGATTGCACAAGGCTTTGCAAAGAAATATACCTGCAAATAAGTTGTTCTGTGGAGTTTCAGTGCTCCCTTCTGGTGTATTCTGGCAAAGCAACTAGGACAATAATCTTCTCCACATTCTAAACATACCTTGTGGAGAGAAAAAAAAGGAAATTAAGATTAGGAAATTAATATCTTCAATACATACCTTTGTGACCCTGAAATACTTTTCAGTTTACCTGATTGCACTTATAGCTCCCTTCACTAAATATGAAAACAGCTCCAAAGAAATATCAGTAAAAAGCCAGGTGGTAGGGTACTTTTGAAGCCACTGAGCTATTTGAAGTGAGGAAGGGTTACATTATGAGGGCACTAATATTTCTCTTTTTGTACAAGAGAACTACCATATTTTTCAGAGTATAAGATGCACCTCCTCCCCCGCAAAAGAGGGTGAAAATTTGGCTTCGTATTATACATTGAATATAGCNGGGGGCGATATGCTGACTCTGTAAACCGCTTAGAGAGGGCTGAAAGCCCTATGAAGTGGTATATAAGTCTAACTGCTATTGCTATTGCTATTGTTTTTTGCCCTCCCCAGGCTCTGGAGCTTTCCTGGAGCCTGGGGAGGGTGAAAATGACCCCCCCCCGGCCCCTCAGAGGAAATACCAGCTTTGAGGCGAGCAGTGTGGTGAGCATGGGGGGGAACATGGGGGGGAAGTTTGTGTGTGCATGCGCATGTGGGTGCCGGCATACGCATGCACTATCATGCGTGCACGCTAGCGTTTTTGGCACCCAACAACAAAAAGGTTAGCTATCACTGTCATAGGGATTACTTTTTATTCAACTAAGGAGAACTCATCAAATTTGCAAATGAATAGCCAACACTCCAGAAGACAACTCAGGATCCAAAAAGATCTTAACAGACTTGAACAATGGGTCCTATCCCCACACTCCCCAAAAAATGAAATTTAGTATGGCGAAAAGCAAGTGTGTGGCAGCAGCCAAAAAGGCTACTACAATCTTTGGTTGTATAAACAGAGGCATAGAATCAAAATCACCGGAAGTATTAGCACCGCTTCCTTAGTAAGGCCACACCTGGAATAATGTATCCATATAAAAAAGATGTTGAGACTTTGGAAAAAGTGCAAAGAAGAGGCAAGTAAGATGATTAAAGGCCTGGAGACAAAAATATATGAATAACAGTTGCAGGAATTGGATTTGGCTAGTCTAAAGAAAAGAAGGACTGGAGGGGACATGATAGCAGTATTCCAGTATTTGAGGGGCTGCCACAAAGAAGTGGGGGTCAATTTATTTTCCAAAGCACCAGAAAACAAGACAGGAAACAACGGATGGAAACGAATCAAGGAGAAAAGCCACCTGGAATTAAAGAGAAGCTTCCTAACAGTGAGGACCAGAGGTGAGTTTGGCCCGGATCGGGTGAACCGATAGTGGCGAAGGCAGGAGGCTCCACCCACCCGCCCAGGCGCTTCTGCGCATGAGCAAACCAGTAGTTAAAAAATAGAAACCCGCCACTGATGAGGACAATTAGCAATGGAACAGTTAATTGTGGGTGCTTAATCACTGGAAGTTTTTAAGAAGAGCTTAGACCAGCGATGGCGAACCTTTTTTGGCTCACGTGCCATAAGGGGGGGTGCTCAGGGGGGTCGTGTGCACACCCATAAGGCAACACACACCCCTAGTGTGCATGTGCGCATGAGAGGCGCTCCCTTTCATTTTTTGCATGCTCTTTTTCACCCTCCCAAGTCTCCAGAGGCTTTATAGGAGCCTGAGGAGGGTGAAAACAGCCTCCCTCCACGCCCCGGAGGCCCTCTGGAGGCTTCAGGGACTTTCAGAAGGCTTCCCTGAAGACTCCGGAGGACTAAAAACGGCCTTATGAGCAAACCGGAAGTCACTTCCAGTTTTTCGTAGGGTCAGTTTAAGCCCTCTGCGGGCTTCAGGGACCTTCAGGAGGCTTCCCTGAAGACTCCGGAGGACTAAAAACGGCCTTATGAGCAAACCGGAAGTCACTTCCAGTTTTTCGTAGGGTCAGTTTAAGCCCTCTGCGGGCTTCAGGGACCTTCAGGAGGCTTCCCTGAAGACTCCGGAGGACTAAAAACGGCCNTGGTTAATGTTTAATAACTGGCTTTGCCAGTGCCATTATCACCACTGTGCTGCACTATGACTCTTTGGGAAGGGTGATGTCAGTCTCAACCTTTGGCAGGGTGACCCCTACTTCTGGCCCTTTGAGCTTCGGGACCTTGACACTAGGCATCTTCACTTCAGGCATTTTGATTTTGCCCTTATCTCCAATCTCCACGTCCAAGCGAGGGGCTTCTACCTCCACTTGTTGAAGCTTAAGATCAGTCTCAAGCTCTGCCGAGGGGAGTGTCACTTCTGCTTTCAATTCTGTCTTTGGTAGCTCTGCTTCCACAGAAGGTATGCTGATTTCTTCCTCAGGGATGCCTTTTCCTTTGGGCATTGAAATTCCAAATTTGGGCATTCTGAATTTTGAAATTTTGAATGTAGTATCCCCTCCTTCAGGCATAACATCAGGACCCTGCACAAAAACCTTTCTGGATGGAGTCTCTGTTTCTTCATCAGGAGCTTTAAATTCCTGGCTGGCTAAGCCCATTGGAATCTTTACTTCTGGGGCTGATATAGTAATATCTCCCTTTATCTCTGGTTTGTCAGCATGGAGGTCAGCTTCAGGAAGAGAAATGTCCACTTTAGGCATATTAATATCCACATCGACTTTGGGATCCTTGATGTTTGGTTTGGAGAATCCCATGGTAGGCATCTTGAACTTTGGCGTGTGTATCTTAATCCCTCCACCTTCAATTGTACTTTCAGTTTGTGGAAGTTTGATAGTCGCTGCATCATGAGGCAGTTCAATTTTTGTTTTTGTTAGTGAGATATCAGTGTCTACCTTTGGTACAGAGATCCCTACTTCTGGTGCTTCAAGTTTAGGTGCCTTGATGCTAGACATCTTTACCCCAGCAGTTTTGATGTTTCCCTTATCGCCAACTTCTATGTCCAGGCTTGGGACCACTACCTCCCCTTTTGGCAGTTTAATGTCAGCTTCAATTTCTGCTGAGGGCAGAGTGACTTCTGCTTTTAGTCCTGTTTTGTGGAGATCAGTTTCCACAGAAGGTACACTGATTTCTGCCTCTGGGACACCTTTCCCTTTAGGCAGTGAAATTCCAAATTTGGGCATTGAAAATTTGGGCATTTTGAACTTGCTATCTGTACTCTCTATTTCAACCTTGGGGTCTTTCACAGTCATCTTGCTGGAAGACACCTCTATTTCGAAGTCAATTGGTTTTATTTCCACAGACGTTTGCCCCATTGGAATTTTTGTGTCAGTGGAAGAAATCATGTTGCCTGTAGGTTTGCCTACTTGCAACTTACTTTTGGTAGCTTGGAGCTCAGCTTCAGGAAGAGTAATGTCCATTTTAGGCATACTGACATCTACATCGACTTTGGGGCCTTTGATGTCTGGTTTGGAGGATCCCATACTGGGCATCTTGAAATGGGGCATGTGTATCTTCAGCCCTCCTCCTTCAATGGTGCCTTCAGCCTCTGGCAATTTTATGGATGCTGAACCATCAGACACTTCGGCTTCTCCTTTGGGAAGGGAGACATCCGCTTCAACTTTTGGTAGGGAGATCCCTACTTCTGGCCCTTTGAGCTTTGGGACCTTGATACTAGGCATCTTCAATCCAGGCATTTTGATTTTGCCCTCATCTCCAACCTCCATATCCACTCTGGGGTCCACTACTTCCACATCTGGGACTTTAATGCCAGTTTGTAAACCTACAGAGGGCAATGTGACTTCCCTTTTCAGTTCTTTTTTGGTGAGGTCCAGATCCACAGATGATACAGTGTCTTCTTCGTCTGGGACACCTTTCCCTTGGGACACTGAAATTCCAAACTTGGGCATATGGAACCTGGGAATTTTAAATGTAGTATCTCCGTTTTCGAATGTAATCTCTGGCTGCGGCAAAGCCAGAGGCATTTTAATTTTGCTCTTCTCCCCAATCCCCATTTCTAGGGTGGGGGTCTGTGCCTCCATTTTTGGCAACTTAATGTCAGCTTCAAGCACTGCAGATGGAATTGTGACCTCTAATCCACTTTGGGGGATAATTGCTTGAATGGATGGTACAGTGATTTCTACTTCTGGGTCACCTTTCCCTTTGTGCAGTGATGTTCCAAATTGTGGAATCTGGAACTTGGGCATTTGAAACTTCCTATCCCTGCTTTCCAACTTAAGATCAGGGCCCTGCACAGAAACCTTTCCAGAAGGAACCTCTACGTCTACTTCGGGAGCTTTGAGTTCCAGGCTGGCTGAGCCTGTTGGAAACTTTACGTCTGGTGCTGTTATGGTAATATCTCCTCCCTTCACCTCTGGCTTCCCAACATGGAGCTCAACTTCAGGACGAGAAACATCCACTTTAGGCATACTGACATCCACATCGATTTGTGGGCCCTTGATGTCTGGTTTAGAGAATCCCATGCTGGGCATCTTGAACTTTGGCATGTGTATCTTCAGTCCTCCCCCATCGATGGTGCTTTCAGCCTCTGGCAATTTTACTGCCGCTGCACCATCAGACACTTCAACTTTCCCTTTGGGAAGGGTGATGTCAGTCTCAACCTTTGGAAGGGAGATCCCTTCTTCTGGTGTTTTGAGTTTGGCGACCTTGACGGTAGGCATCTTTAGTCCAGGCATTTTGATTTTGCCCTTCTCCCCTATCTCCACATCCAGAGTTGGGGCCTCTATCTCCATTTCTGTCAGCTTATTGTCAGGTTCAATCTCTGCAGTTTTCAGTTCCGTTTTCAGTCCAGTTTTGGGGGAGTCTGCTTCCATGGAAGATATGGAAAGTTCTCCCTGTGGAATATCTTTCTGTTTGGGAAGTGATATCTCAAACCTGGGCATTTGTAATTTTAACATTTTGAACCTAGTTTCGTCATCTTCCAGTGTAATGGCTGAGCCATCTGTACAAATTTCATCTGATATAATATTTGTTTTCAATTCCAAAATTTCCTGGCCTGCTGTTGCCTTTATGTCAAATTCTGAGATGTTTATATCAGCAGTAATTTCCCCCATCTTAAGTTCAGGTTTGGTACCCTTATGGTCAACTTTGGGAAGGGAG